TTACAAAGACAGTTGTATAGCAGTTTATTTGAAACATCTTTCTAACCTGTTTTTGGTTTCATAATAGATGTGCACAATTTTTCTTTTATTACAACATGGCAAAATGTCCCACAGTTTAATGAAGCACAGCATTATTCTAGCTCACATTCCAGTCCATGGCCTGCTGACTCCAGGGCAGGTCAGAGAGGCAGAGAGTTGGGGCCGAGGAGAGCTCCTCCAGTGTGGTGCCCAGGCGCCAGGGAAAGCAACACAGCCTTCCTGGTTGTACCCGCAGTGACAGCCTCTTGCAGCCAACCTCCTACCCGCAAGCCGGCTATGATGCCCCTGAATCTGGTTGACTTTCCAGGGTCCTGCCTATGCTGGCATGAGGCTTCAGGGTGATACTGAGATGTAAATCGTAACTGTCGAGCTTCTGTGAAAAAGACTTACATTTAAACCTTTAGATCTGTTTCATGTGTGTTAGAAAAGAAGAAGGGGCCGGGGAGATGGCTCAGTGGAATAAGCACTTCCCTGGCAAGTGCAAGGCCCTGAGTTCAATCCCTGGTTCCGCAAAAGAAAAAAAAAGAAAAGAAGAGGAAGCAGGCTGAGGCAGGCGAGTTCAGCTCAGCGCTGCTTGCCCACATAGTTCTCTGCCTTGTGTGATAGTTGTGTTTCTGGGGTCAGACCCAGGGCTGAACAAGCTGTGCAAGTGCTGTGTCAGTGAGTCCCTGCCCACCTCTATCCTCAGCTGTCCTGCCAGCCAGGGGGAAGATTCCCCACCATGAGAGGGAGATGCATCCTCTTTCCCCCTCATTTCATTAGGAAACAATAGGGCCAGAAAATTGAAGTAATTTGTAGTGTACCTGAGGGCCTCTGTTGTAGAAAGTGGGGAGTAAGGAGGGGGGTAGTGATATCATAAAAGCAGATATTCTAAATGTTATTTGTTTTATTTAGATTTCGTAGTAGGTGTGAGTTTGGTCAGCGTGCTACTTGTAGTCAGAGCACACCTGGGGTGTGTGCTGGGATCAAGCCTAGAGCTTCATGTGTGTTAGGTAGGTGCTCCGCCGCTCAGTCACACCTGCAGTCCTCATTGTTTTCTAGCTGAGTTTACTGTTCAAGCAAAATGAGTTCATTTCTGGTTTAGAGTATGTTTGAAAGAGATAGGAATTCCCTTCTGACAAAATCAGATTCTGTAGAATGCCAGTCTTTTTAAATAGTTGTCAAGATGGGAAGACAGGTATGCATCCAGCCATGTACTGCACCCAAGTCGTCAGAGACATTATACAGTGACCATGCATAGGATAGAGTGAGAACAGTGAGACTTGAAGGGGCTGGGGACACTCATGTCTTCCTGGCTCTAATGTCAGACGTTTAGACTTGAGCTCACCTATTGTGTAACCTAGACTCTGGAAATCGAGGCCCACAGGGCTGGTCCTGTACATTACAGGGACTTAGGAGATGTGGAGAAAGGTTCTAAGGAGTGGAATGAGTGAGATTTTCTATTCAACATAGCCAAGTGTCAGTGGAAGGCTCTGAAAGCTTTTATGACACAGTCCTTGCTACAGTCTTGTTATTCCTCCTCCTCCACTTTTCCCCTGGAACAGCAAAATATAGAAGAGTTTTCTTTTTTAGAAGAGTTTTTAACAAGAAAAAGCCTGTGTGACCTTAGACTAAAGAGGACTTTTCTTTGAAAGTATCTTATGTGTGGGGCAGGTAAGGGAAACTGCAGAAGCCACAGCTGCAGTCAAGAGAAACGCAAAGAAGCAAGACCAGGCTGAGGTTGTCTCCAAGATTGCATTAGGCTTTTGTCTGCCTCAGTTTTTTTACTATGTTTAGTTTTGCTCTTAGCATGAAGCAAGTGAAGTCTATCAGTTCATAAATTGCCTTCTTTATTAAGAATACCTCAGGGATCAACGTGAGGGAAATGATTACAGAAAACTACTAGAGAATAAGATGCCTCTCCGAATATTACTGTTTTGTTTCTGTGCAACCATCTTAGCTTGCAAAATCCACTCTCCCCAAATAAGTAAGTGCACCCTGCCTTGTATGCTGGTCTTGTTCTGCACAACATGGTTCGTCCTTTTTATTGTTCCTTATAGTAAAATGAGCAAGTAAAGGAAGGTAGGTTGGTCTGCCAGATAAAATCCTGTTTGTTTTTGGTTCACAATGTATTTTATAGTTGGATTCTTAAATTATCCTTAGTATTTTAATGATTTGAATTTTACTAGGCAATGAGGAATCTCCAAAGGATTTAGAAGGATCAGAACTGACAGCCAACTTGCAGTCCAAGGTATGGTTGATAATTCAGCTGTCCTGAACTGTTAGTGAGTGTAAGCCCTTTCATGATCAAGAGACTGACAGATGCACAGTATACTGCTACTGTTTCCTTGTACTTCTTTTTTTTTTTTTTTTTCTTTTGCAGAACTGGGGATTGAACTCAGACCTTTGCACTTGTTGGGCAAGGGCTTAGTCTACTGAGCTATGTCCCCAGCCCTCCTTTTACTTCTGATAGGATTGTTGTTGCCTTGTCCTGAGTGGGGGCCTGAGAACCTCAATAATGTTAGTAAATAAAGACATCCATTTCTTACCATGGATGTCTCCTACATTTAATCCATTGCTGACTCTTACAGATTCCATTCCCAAAGTAGAATGGGAGCTCGGCCATTTTTGTCCGCACCATCTTGGTTGAAGTCATTATTCCAGTAGTCCCTGTCACTTCCTCCCTGTCCCCTCCTAGTCTGTGATTCACACCCATGAAGGATGTCTGAAAAAAGACTAGGTTCTGGCCTAGCTCTGCTTAAAATTTAATGTTGTTTCCCACCCATCCCTTTTAGAATAAAATGCTTTTTTTTTTTCTGGTACCTGGGATTGAACTCAGGACCCTGTGCTTGCCAGGCAGGCACTTATTCTACTGAGCTATCTACCCAGGCCCTTTTTAATAGTAAAAGAGCCTCTGCCCCCCGCCCCGAACCAGGGATCGAACTCAGGCCCTTGTACTTGCTAGGGAAGCACTTATTCTACTGAACCATCTCCCTGGCCCCTAGAATAAAATGCTTTAGACAATTCAGTCTCTGCACTCCCTTTCCAACTTTCAATTGTATGTGACAACATCACAACGTCCCAGTGTGCCCAGGAGTCACGAACAGTATGAAACGGGCATAGCTTACCCAAAAAGGCTGGTGGTGGGAAGACAGGAGAGCTTGTGCAGGGGCACTCAGTTGGGATTCCAAAAGTGTGGAAGTGCCAGAAGCAGAAGGCAAGGAAACCTCCAGGGCCAGGGGGTCACGTGTGTGCTGTACTTGGGTGGGGTGTGCACCCGAGCCCGGAGCAGCCCACAGGGACCAGTGGTGAGGCCGAGCCTGGTGGGACAGGAACTCTAGGAAGGGCCACATCACGCTGTTTACTTTTAAAGTAGTATGAGAAGCACTGAAGGATGAGGCGTAAGATTGGACTGAGCTTTCTTTTTTAAATTCGTTTTCTTCAAGAGTAGTGTCTGCATTTTTCAGTTTTGTATGGGCTTGAAAGTAGTCTTATTGTTTCAAAATGCTGGGTTTATTTTTCTAGTTCAGCCTCCTTGTAAAAACCTAACTAACTTATCTTTGTGGTGCTTTGGGTTTTTTAGACATTTGTGCCTTCAGAGGAAGAAAAAAACCATGAAATTCTAGCAATGCAAGAAAGTCAGTGTGAGGAAAAGCCAAGTGGAATGGGTAAGTCCTGTTAGTGCTTGTTGACGCTTTTTGTGTTTTGTGTATTTGAACCTTCTATTGCAGCTTAAAACCAGTACTAGAGTTATTAAACACAGATTGAATTGTTCTCTCTCACTTTTTTCCTGCATTGGGGATTGGATTGGACCCAGAGCGTTGTGCATGTTAGGCAAGCACTGTACCACTGAACTGCGCTTAAACCTTTTAAAAAGTTTTATTTTGAGACCAGCTGTCCCTGAGTTGCCCGGGCTGGCCTTGTAGTTGCTGTTCTCTTACCTCAGCTTTCTTGCAGCTGAAATTGCAGGTATTCACTGCTGTGCCTGGCTAGCTGCTCGCTTTCTAATATAGGCTAAAGGGAATTACTCATTCCTTCCTCTTGCAGCCTATACTAAATGTCATCTTTAGCTTTCATTAAATGTCAGTTATATACACAATAAGGTAGTTGCTTAAACTTGATATCTCCATGTAACAAAAGTATTTAGAAAAGAGAAGTATTTAGAGCAAATACTTTGTCCCAGATGTCTTTCTTGCTGTCCAGGGCCTGTGCAGCACATCCCCAGGGTGACAGCCTGCAGCTCCCCCATGTCCATTACCCCATTGGCTCTGCCTAAGGGCTCTGGCTTTTGCCCAGTGTCAGCGCTAAAGCCAGCATCAGCCCACATGACATCTTCCTGGACTGGAGCATTGTTGTTCAGCAGCTGCCAGTGTGTGTGTGCAGTGGCGCCTCTATATCAGAAAGGAGCAGGACAGCAGCTCTCAGCGTGGTGGTCTCAGACCACTTTACACTCTTTAGAAGTCCTAAAGCCCTCAAAGAGCTTTTGTTGTGTGAATTATACCTTTTGACATTTACCAAGTAAGGCTTTAAAACAGACTTATAAGTACTAACTCAGTACAGTTAACTTACTATGACTTAATCCTTTTTAAATAAAAAATAACTAGATTCCCCCCCAAAAAAGCAAAATTTATTGGGAAAAGCATTGTGTGGTTTTCATTTTTGTAAATCTCTTTGAGTTGAGCTTAATAGAACACAGCGGATTTTTCCTGTATCTTTTTCCACCTTCTGTTATTTTGCTGTTCTGGTGGAAGTGCAAGGAGAACATCAATCACAGATTTACAGTTATATTTTAGTGAACTATTCAGTTTTTGTGGATGCGACTCATACCTCTGGAAAACCCCACTGTATGCTCTGAAGTTCATAAGCCAGATAACATCTTAACATTGATGTGGTGTTAGTGTTTCCCTGGATAGAAGGAGCCCCAGGAACATACGAGAGAGCTGGAGAAATTGGGAACCATCACGAATTATAAGTTCAGACATTAATTACTGTTGATGTATTTTTTTCTGATTCCTACCTTGAGAAAAGTCCTGCTGGGAGTGCGGCCTGTAGTTTATCATCCCCCTCTGTGCAAAGGCCCTGGTTAAATCCTCAGCCCCAGAGCAGAGAAAATTAGGACTAAGCACTTCTAGGGTGTATGTCCCAGTTTAAGCCAGATTGCATTTATTTTAAAACAGGGCTGAATATCCGCATTTTAGCTGTAATAGTGATTTGGTGGAAAATGACAAAAATCCCTACAAATACGTAATTGCTTAAAAATAATTTATCGGCTCACAAAACTAAAAAGACAAAGTATAATCCAAGAGCAAGCTGGTATCCCTACAGGCACATCCAGTAGATGTTCAGTTTTTTCTCTCATCCTTCCACAGAGGTCATTGCTTTCTTTCTTATTCATGCCTCTAGGAAAATAGCTTTGTCATCTTTGTGGCCAAAATCCCAAAAATCTACATTAGAATCCCTATGTATTTCTGCCCTAAACTAGTGCTATGACTGGAGAAGAGTAGCTTTCTGGTTGAGTGAAATTAAGTCAAGTGTTTTGTTTTTAGAGCCACACTGTCCTGAACCAAAGTCCTGGCTTTTAGGGGAAGTTCTGGGGAGGCAGTATTGCCTGGCAGACTCAGCTCAGTCTTGAATGTATTCACATGACAAAGCAAGCCAAGTATGTGTAAGAACTGGGGAAGTCAATGTTGAAAGGAGTGATGAAAAGACGTCCTTGACTGGGATTCATGGGCTGATGTGTAAGGGGCAGTGGGCGTGGAAAAATTTAGATCACACAACTGATTGATGCCTAAAACCCCCAGGACCACTCCCTGGGGAGGTGGTCGCAGCAGGAGTTGGGGACCTTTTTAGAAAAAGTTAGCTGAAATGGCCTCGGAAGCAAACGGAGGATCACCAGGTAGCAATACCAACCAGTCTCGCAGTGTGCACCAACCCCCGTAAGTCACTGATGCCCAAGATGACTGAGTTATCCAAGAAACATTAGTTAAAATGTACCCTGGTCATGAGCGTCACAGTTCAAATAACATCTCCTTTGTTAATTATCAAGGAGGTAACATTTTTGGGTTCTAAAGTCCTTTGTTCCCCAGTTATATTTTAGGCTGGTTTAGTGTGTTTAGGTACAATTCAGTAAGAGATCTATTTACGTAAAAGGAAGTTGTTTAAAGGAAATATGTGTGTTCTGTCACTGTTGAGCAGAAACAGTAGACCTTGTACTTCAAGTTTCCAGAGACTATAAACAGACTTGCTGTTTATAGGGATAGGATCTAACTTCATTTGATTGCATTATTTTTAAATGAACCAGTGTTACCCTGCGACTTAACTGTTAGTTATGTGAAGGTCTTCCACATTATTCAGAACTCCAGATCACCAGAACGGTTCAATCACTGTAGCAGCTTGATGGACCACTGCCGTTACTGCAAAAAAGTCCAGGCAACGTTAATTTCCGTTGTTTTTCTGATAGTAGATGGAACACAGATTGTAAAAAACAGTTGGCCAGAGTTTTTTAATTCACCAAAGCCCACTTGGTAAAATAATCATATTTAACTACCCTGAAAGTCTTTTTTTTTTTCTGTGTAATTGAAAAGCATTGTTGTTTCCTTAATGTCTCATTTTTGTTTCTCAACAGATGAGCTACAAAGAAAACCCCCATTGCTGAATGAATCCCCATGTGTAAGTAACTGTAGTGGCAGTGATTCTGGTGATGGCTGTGAGGCTGTGGAGGGAGGGAGCTGTGCAGGGGAGGCTGTCCGCACCTCACCTGAAGTCAGGAGGCCGGCGGTGGCGTGCTCTTTGCTCAGTCCCAACACTGATGGCAGGGGTTACCTGCCTTCTCCATGTTTACTGTTACTGCTGATGAGTTCTGAACAACCTTGTTTTCTTATTACAATAGAATTAAAAATTGGATTCAAATGTCTGAAATCGCCGTGGTACTGTAGACAGACACCTGATACTTGAATTAAGGTTCACTTATGTTTTAAAAAGCTGGTCTGAAGACACTAAGCCATAATCAATGTATATACTGCTATATATATACATAATGTTTTCCCAACATGTAGTTCTCATAATCCTTTACACAATGAAAAAAGTAGGTTTTGTTTTTGTTTTCCTTCCTTACTCATTTATGGGGAAACTGACAGTACCAGGAGTGAACACTTTGTAAAACTCTTGCACATCACAGATAGTCGCATCAGTGCCTGTCACTGCTGGAAGTTCCTAATGGCTACTCACCACTGAAGCATTGTATCCTAGCTAGAAGCTCGGGTGTGTGGTCTGTGCTGGGAAAGAAGGAAGAGAAAAGCCCCACTTGGCATGCTTCGGGCCTTACAGAGATGGAAGTGCATCAGAATCAGCTGCCAGCCACTCACCTGCAGCACAGTTCTGCAAATGGGCACTGAGCTCTGTGGCTGGGACTTAAAATGTAGGATATTCTGAGGTGTTCCCTTTCCATTTAAAATGCATAAAATAACGATGGACAAGATTTGCCAGACAGGTACTCCTTTGTTCGAATCCTTCAGGACTTTTTAAAGAAAGCAATCAAATCATGAGAACTCTTTAGATCAGGACATTGATAAAAATCAGAAATGTGCCTCTTATTTTACTTTTTTGCAACTAAGAAATCTGTTAATAGCATTAAAGGATTAAATTGAAATTTTTTCACAAAGGAACTGTTTTATGCTTATCAGCTTCTGGATCCATTGAAAAGAATATATATTCTCATTTCTTGTGGGATTTCCACAGACAGCAAGATTATGCAAATTCCCTTTTCCCCACTACCTTGAAAGTGTTCTCTGAGACAATAAATTATGCTTTGCATTGTGTATTCAGGTTGAGAACTCAGACTCACGAACAAACGCAGAGATTCCTAATAAATCTTGTAACAAAGGTAAGTCAATGAATTCCTTAGTCATAATTTCAATATTAATTAGTTACCTTTTTTTTGAGGGCCACAGTCTATGTTACTTCTCAGATCTCTCACCTAATTCATGTAGTCTAGTGGAGGGAGTGTTATGCTTAACACTACAGTTGAGGGACCTGAGGGTTGTAGAGATCGGAAGACTTGTCCAAGGCTGCCCGGCTGGGGAGTGCAACCTGCACTGAAGCAGCTACCACACGGCCCACAGAGTCTAGAAGGCATCGGCCCCTGTGCCTTGCGCCGCCGGAGGCCCGAAGTGCAGCACTAACAACCAGCCTTTGTGAGCTGCTGCAGGTAGGTGCAGTACAGTAGCAGACCAGGGCGTCTCCTTTTGTGGCTCTTCTCCCCAAGCTGAGGTCTTACTCTGTGCAACCTGTACTGCCTCCAACTCCAGCCAGGATGTAGGATTTTGCTGATTCCTAATGATTTTGCTAATTCTCTATTCATCATACATTTACTTTATAATATATTTAAAATAGTGGTAACTGCAAACTCATGTACTCTTTGCCTAATTTAATCGTATCTTAAAGTTTAGCATATTGACTCACAGAAAATGTTGCAAATGTATTCTTAATACCCCTTGCCAATCTCAGTCTCTTTCCCTTTTACCCTATTCCAAAGGGAATTCACATTGGAATATTTTGCTGAATAAAGCACCCATAATATTTAAATGGCAATGGAATACCCATCTCTAACAAAACTAAACAAAAAGGGATATAAGTGAAGGGCCATTTTATATCTGTATATATAAGATAGTTAGGATAGATATACAGCTGCTTTCTCTTAATTCAATGAGAAGAAAGATTTGTACTAATAGTGTTTGGAGGGCTGGTGAGATGGCTCAGTGGTCTAAAGCACCTACTTAGAACAGGCTTGGCAAAGCACAGGGACCGTGGTTCAATCCCCCAGCACCACATGCCAGCCAGCTCTGCCCCCTGGTGGGCTGGGCTGGCCACACACACACACACACACACACACACACACACAAAATAAAATTTTTTAAAAAATAGTGTTTGGACAGGATATCATGTCTGCATCTTGTACTATGAATAACTACTACAAGGACAATAATATGCAATGTATTAATTATTGTAACTATTCTACTAACCTGTTCTGAAACTGTCTCATTGCTATTTGTTTCTCAGTAAAATTAATTTTTAAAAAACCAGGAAGTTCTTTGTTCAATAGATATAATTTCTATATTCATAACAATATGTAGCCTTAAGTGAACAGTACCATATTATATAAACTGTCTCCACTATAGTTGTTCACATGAAATATTCTTAGATTTTGTCCTGTTGATTTGTGTGACATCTGATTACTACTTTGCGGGGAGGGTTGACTTAGTGATGGAGCACTTGTCCAGCATGCATAAGGCTCTGGGCTTGATCACAGCACCATGAAGTCGTAATACTTGCTGGTTAGTATTTCACTGTGTAAATACACAAGTTATTTTTTCGTGTGTGTGTGTGTGTGTGTGTGTGTGTGTGTGTTTATGTATTTAAGTGCTTTTCAGCTTTTCCTAATTACAGAGAGTTTCTTTGCATGCTCCTCTACCTGTTTTGCAGAGCACGCACAGTGCATCTGCATCTGTAGGGTCCAATTGCTCAGTTGTAGGCAGCTCTCTAGGGTTCCTACATGTGCCCTGTTGTCTCCAGGCAGCCATTGTCGCTCTGCCTTTCCTACACTTCATATTGTTAGATTGCTGAATATTCACTGCTCTGATGACTGTCCTTTTATTTTCTTGTATTTGCTTTCCTCAGACATTTCTTAGTACTCAGGTGCTTCCTAATCTCAAGGGAAAGGCCTTAAAGTCTGAGTGTAAAACCCAGTGCATAGTCGTGGACATGTTACTTCTCACATTGAACCCCCTGGACTCACATCTACCCATAGCAAAAACTAAAACTTGCCCGGCAGCATTTTAGAAGGATCCCATCCAGAATCATTTGTTAACTATCTGCTGCAGTGCCTCGTGCATGGCTGGAACTCAGTAGAGCCACTTTTTCACACATACTTAAAGAGAGTATCATAATGAAAACCAGTGTTTAAGACCTTTTTTCTCTGTTCAATTTACTACTCAGAGATATCCACTGATAGAAAAGACAACACAGAAAAAACCAGAAGTCACAGTATTGAAGCAAGCCCCAAGGAGGTATGTTTTCAGAAGTTCAAGCATTTCATGTTTCATAGGTAGTATTTTAAGCTGAACACAAAGAGAAGTTTAGAAAGGCTTTTATCTTTTTGCGTGTATAAATTAAGTATTAAGTGGAGGTGTTAAGAGTTCTGCGCTTTACCTGCTATGCTCTGGTAATGTTTAGGTAACTTGGCAGGTCCTAGGATTGTTTAGAAATGTCTACATCGTGTGACCAAAATGTGTTTTCATATTCCTATTTGTCAGCAGCTAAGAATCCTTTGTTTAGTGGGCCACTGAAAGAAAAACACTACTGATTATAGTATGCAAGTTATGTAAAACCCAACCTGTCTTCAGAGCTGAGGGGAAAAACAGCTTAAGCATGACTTTTAAAAACATTGGAATACAGTGTGTATCCAGATACAGCATTTTTTTTTTAATAAGGATTTATATTCAATCCAGCAAAAGAGTCAGGCTTAGAAAATTATTCTAATCTAAGTCTGGATGTCGACAATGTTTGAAATTCTTTATCTAGCAGAACTGCTGTAGCAGGGTTGTACCTTTAGGTGCTGTCTGCCTGCTTGGTCGGGCTCTGCTGCCTATAATGCAGTCATTTATAATTCCAGGTTGAAGAGGAAGAAAGGCATATCCCTACGAGAAAGGCGAAGAAGCACTACCCTTCCTCTGAAGATGAACTGGGTATTTCAGTTGAGCACCTGAATGTTATTAATGTGACTGAGAGAATAAAATTTTAATTGTTTTTCCTTTTAAATTTCAGTATTCCCCATTATTAAACAGTGTAGGATACTTTCTACTTGACCCGAAGTAGAAATTAATACCTCTTGACTAAATATATAGTAAAGAATAGGTTCTTAAATTCTTCCCTTTTTTTTCATTAAGAGCATAAGATTATTTTGTAGTAGTTTATTGAGTTTGTGTTGAAGGTAATGCCCATGATACTTTATATGTACACTCTCAATTTACCATTACAGTAATTCTGTGGATTAGGTATGATTGCTGTTTCATTAGAGAACTTAAGGTTTGAGCATCGTGACTTCACTTCGGCCAAATTCTGCTCAGTCACTAACCAAACCCTGCCTCCCGGCTGACTGCTCACTGAGGAAGTGCCTCCATGGACTTCGTCAACAGTCCCTGCTGGCCTGTTGGTGTCACTTTAACACTTGGTGATTTTGGTTTTTGTTTTGTTTGTCCTGGGGATCCAACTCGGGACCTGTGCTGGCCAAGCAGGCACTAATGCCTTTGAGCCATCTCCCTGACCCTCGGCAATTTTTTTAGTGTTCTATTTTATTTTTCCCAAGCCAAAGGCCCATGTTTGTTGTCCAAATCGTGACATTTTGAATACTTTTAAGGTAACTTTACTGCAGGACTAAAAAAGAAACCTCAAACTGTCTTAAAATAGAGCAGTGCATTTCAGTTTTCATTTAGCTTCTTTTGTTTTGTGATTCTGTCCAAACTGATTTACAGATGATATTCCAGATGTCCTGGATTCCAGAATAGAAACAGCACGGAGACAGTGCTCTGAAGCTGAGCCACAAGACACCAAGGTGCTTTTTCTACATGTTAAGCTTTGGGGGTAACCTGATTACATCACTGAATACTTGCTGTAATATTTTCAGCCTAGTGTCCCTTTTACTTTGGGCCTACCAAAACAATAAACATCTTATTATAATACACATTTTTAGTGCCACCCCCACCAAAATTTACTTTTATGATTCTTTTTTTTTTTTAATTTATGTGTGTGTGTGTGTGTGTGTGTGTGTGTGGCCAGCTCAGCCCACCAGGGGGCAGGGCTGACTGGCATGTGGTGCTGGGGGATTGAACCGCGGTCCCTGTGCTTTGCTAAGCTTGTTCTAAGTAGGTGCTTTAGACCACTGAGCCATCTCACCAACCCCACTTTTATGATTCTTAAAAGGTTGAATTAATGTCACAGTTTAGATATAATGGTTGCTTAGGATTTTGTTTAGTAGTATTATTGACCTTTCTAAGGTTTCTAGATGGTTTATTCCAAAATATTACGCACTTTTAATCCAGATATACCTGTACAAAAATACTGAAATATAGTCATACACATTACTGTAAAATATTAATATTGTACCTTCTGTCCAGATCACCTCCCACTCCTTAAATGCAGGCATCCCCAGGAGCAGCGCCAGCTGTTGCTTTTTCTCATAATCTTAGTTTTATAGGGCTTGGGGCTGAAGCAGATGGCTCCCAGGTCTTTTGTTTCTCTGACTGCCTTGTTCTAGACCAAGGTTTCCTGTAGCCTCCTGGGGCCTCCTCACGGATGCCCTTTTACTTTTCAGATTCTAGCCTTCATAGACTGTTAAAGAAATAATTTAGATGACAGTTCTGCTTTTTATAATAGGTCATTTAGAAGCAAACTTAAAAGTTAGTTTTTAATATATCTTCGTCTCATTTTAATTTGTAGAGTTATATACTGTATTTTTTTTTCTTTTTTTTTTTTTTTTTTTCGGAACCGGGGATTGAACTCGGGTCCTTGCACTTGCCAGGCAAGCACTTATTCTACTAAGCTATTTCCTCGGCCCCTACATACTGTATTAGGGTGGCTGTGGAAATATTTTGGTGTTCAGTACTGAAAACTGTTCTGTGATTCAGGGTGAATAATTTAGCTGCTTAGAGACCACTGCTCCATCGTAGCCCAACTGGGTACCCAGAAACCGAGAAAAAGTCACCTGGTGCCAAAGTGCTGTGCAGGCACCTCTGGACCTTGAAGGGCAGGATGAGAAAGGAAGGAGAAAGTTCCACTCTGCAGAAGAAGCCGTTACAGCCCTGCCATTGTATAGTCAACGTGATGTTGGGCTTTTCTGCCTTCGGGATTTAAAAAATAATAATAATATTTTCTACTAGATTATTCTAAAAGATAG